CACGCACACGCACACGCACATATGTACAGTTTAATTCTCAGGTGGCTAACCAGAACAGCCCATTGTTTCTTTTGAACGTCAATAACAAATACCTCAGCCTAATCCTTGTGTTCCTTGTTTACTGTATCTGACTCCGCAAAGCAGCAGCATTTCCTTTCTGTAATTACATTCATCCATACCTGCTCCTTCAGTTCATCAATAGTGGCCTCCGCCTGCTTGACCTCTTCCTGCAGCTTTTCCTTCTGAGTCCTCAGAGTCTCCAGCTCATTGTTCTTCTTCTCCATCTGCTTCTGCAGCTTCACATGCTCCTGCTTCTCTGAAGAAGACAGGTCACGCATCCTGAGGAGGAAAAGTAAAATCAAATTAAATGTCCGAAGACCAAAATGGTTACAGCTAAAATTGCCCAAACCCCATTCTAGACCTCTTCATAGACCCTTTTTAGGAAGGTTTTAAATTTTGTATTTACACTTTAATCAAACGCTTTTTAGACATTTTACTGACCGAACCAATGCTTCCTTTAGCCTGCTGTTCTGCTCCTCCAGCTGTTTGACATGATAACTTGAGGCCGCTCCATCTGAGCCTGAAGGAGAAAAAGGAAACACAGTGAGGGAAAGCATTAAATAAATGATTGGCATAACAAGAAGAAAGGGTGAGACACATATGTGAATGGAGTACAGACCTTTTTCTGAGATCTCATGTCTCAGGATCTCCAGGTCCATGGAGAGCTCCTCCACTTTCTCTTTCAGTGTGTCCACCTCCACTTGCAGTGACTCTGCCCGCTCTTCAGCCATCTCTTTGTCCAATGTGGCCATCTCTATGGCATCTGCGGTGTCGGACATCTCTTCCATGTAGCGGTCCTTGGACTCATGTGCCTCACGGGCTTCCTGTGAGGAGGAGGTACAAAATAATACTCTAGAAAGTCATGTATGCTGACACTGGAGCTGCCTCTTTCATTCTTACAGGCTAATTCCGACTTACAATCAATTATTAGTACTTTATTTTTCTGTGTACCTTCTTGGCCTCTTTTAGTTGTTTCTGCAGCTCAGCCTGCTGCTCCTGCATTTTGTTCTTCCACTCCTGAAGCTGCTCCAGCTGGATCTTGTGTTTCTCAAGCTCCTTCAGCTTGGCCTTGTCCTCTGTCCGCTTCATCTTCAGCGTTTCCAGCTTCTCTTCCAGGTCTTTGACCTGACCTCGCATTGATTCCTCCTCCTGGGAGGGAGGGATGGATGGATGGAGGGATGGATGGAGGGATGGATGGATAAGAGAGAAGACTGTTTTAATGTGCTGCCTATAGCAATTTTAAAGGATTAACTGGACTTTATTTATGTCCCAATATTTAGTTTTAAGGTTACAAAGAAACATAACAAAAACACTGATTAAGTGCCACCACCAAAAACCCAGAAAAAGATGTTAATGTAAATTCTGCTGCCCTAAATAAAGTTGCAAATAAGTTTCCTCAATTAATGGACTTCATCAACAGGAACCTCTGCCAGAAACTTTAAAGAGCAATGAAGGAAGATTAATGCATTCCCTCCAAACACAATGGTGAAATCGAGTATTTCATTCAGTGTCTCAAAGTTAATTCATGCATCATCAGCACCGTGGGGATATTACAAAACCATATTTAAGTTTTAAGAGGGTGTTCTGGGGGTCATTCTGCCCTCTGATGTTATGAGTTTATTAGTAAACTCATGCCAAGTATCATCAGCATGCATAACCATCAGAGAACTCTACCTGCTTGGAAATGGCAGGTTCCACCTGGTCAAACAATGACAACATGGATGAAATGGGACAAGCTCATTAAAATGACAAATGGAGATAATGGAAATGTTGATCTTTTGTGCTGGTGATATTAGACTAAAAACCTTTTGATTATAGGTCTTTATGAGCATAGCTTTCCCAGACACTAAAATGGGCTCTTCTAATTGTCAGTGACCCACCTTGCTTGGAGTAGCTGGGACCGTGGCCGCCGCTGCTGCAGGTGACCCGCTGGGCTGAGGCATGACGGGAGCCCCCAGTGCACCCTGGTGCGAGGACAGGCCCGCCTCGCTGACATCGCCAGACAGAGAGGACGACATGCTCTCGCGAGACGTCTATTGACCGATGCAGGTATACATTGGAGAGTGGCGGGAGGCAAAAGGTGAGGGATGAAACAGAGGAATGGTATTTGGTATTTGATTAGTATTTGAACGTCAGTAAACAATCCAAGAAGAACAAAAACAAAAGCTTCTCCCACAGTGAACCCAGTAGAAGAGTGAACATGCTGTGTTATATGCTGTGCCACTGTATTCATCTTGTGATAGCTTATAATAAAATACAATAATCTTCCCGACTTCCATGAGATCAGTCTTCCAGGACCAAACAGTTCACCTCACAAGCTCCCACAGACACCACTTTGAGTTCATTTATGTAGGAGAGTCCTGCACCTGTGCACCGAAAGGGCAACAAATCACCAGTTTTTATGTGACAAAACACAACACTCCCTGTGAGGCAACAGGTGAGGTCTCCCATTGTGAGAGCGTACCATGAGCGCCAGGCTGGGGCGGCCGGGGGTGCGTACCAAGAGGGAGGGGAGGGAGGTGGCAGGCGTGAGACGACTTGGAGTGCTCCACTGCCACAGTGCGATCAGAGACACTGCGTTAGGACTCTCAAGAGTTATTTGTAAAACTCAGCTGCAGAGTGAAGCCTTGTGGTTCTTAGCCATACGCATTGTAATTACCAAGTGCAGAGAAGTACAATCATCTTTTGAAAATAATTTTGAAAATGAAAAACATTGTGCATCACAACCTTGAACACAACACATAATCATCATCTTCATATAAACCTTAAAATGATTCAATACAATACTCACAGATTTATGTTCAGATCACAGTTTTAAGGTAAGTGTGCATTGAATTCCAAGGGTTACTTCCAGGTCATTTAATCATTTTACGAATGTCATGTACCTTCAACTCTCAACATACTAATACCTAAACCAATTACTGCTGTTTGCATTCTCTTATCATTTATGGCAAATATTTATTTAGGTGAAAACCAGCTGAAATGGGCCACCTGAAAGCTATAGTGATACCTGCCAGACTGTCCAAATAACTATTAAAACTATGTAAAGGGCCTTTATTAGAGGCACAAATGTGGATAATGAATGAAATAAATTTCTGTTGCACTTATCAAACCAGTGTAATCTTAGTTCTCTCCTTACTGTGTATATACTTCTTATCGTACTACACAAAAATGCATGGCCTTTGAAAACATTTCAAACATGTGAAGCTGTGCCCTTGGTCTAACTTGCCAAGTATTTCAAAGATGACACATGAAAATAAAACTCTTCAGAGTTAAACCATTCTATTTTGATGCTGTTTGACCTCCCTGTTTGCTGTAGACGAGCTCACCTTGGAAGAGCGGCGGGTAGAGGACTGGAGGAGAGGAGGAGGTGAGTTGCAGAGAGGGGGATGCACACACGCACACACACACACACGCACACACACACAGATATACACACACATCGGGTAGTGAAGCAAGAAAGAGATTAGCAGCACATAAGAAGCAGAGCCACTGTTAGTTTAAATCCACTGATCATAGCTTTGGCAGCTGCATGCACCATTTCAAAGAACAGTTATTCTTTATGACTCAAGCCATAGGAGCAGGATAAAATGTGAACTCATGCAACGAACATGAACTGTGAGGACAAGAGGAATGACACCATCATGATGACCTCTCTCTCTCTCTAAATGTAAACATTGGATGTCTTCACCAGAATAAAAAAAATTAATAAAATAAAGTTGGCAAACAAGCAACAACATCTGGTGTAACGAATGGAGTGTGGCCTCGGAGAAAATACAGTGAAAATGATATCTATCAATAACAGGTGATGTCTTCATGTCTCGTGCAAACGTTGTAAATGTAAAAGGGTAACTTAAATATAAAAGATGAGTAGCCACATTAGTGTAATTAACAACAACCAAGGCAAAAGCAAATGTGTTGAATTTAAATATTTCTACCTTCTTAACGTTCACAGGTGTCTGTAAAAGGTATTCAGAAAAACAAAAAATGACAAGTCAACCCAAAGCTGAGAGGCAAACAGAAACTCATTTTCATTGTACATGAAAGAAAAAAAGAAAGATTGGGCAACATTTTGAAAGGCAAAGCAAAGGGACGGAGAAAGGGTTGACAGTCATATCACAATTCTTTGGAGTGGATTTAGTTGCACACAAACACATTTACATTAACCAACATGAAAAGGATATGTAAAGTGTAATTTAAAAAGAGTGAGTATATGGACAAGCCATATTTCTTAAATCCATGGTACATACACAAAGATCCACAAGAGTCCAACCATCTTTAAAGCCAAGTCATGGAAACAACACACCAAAAAAAGCAGTGAGGTGTGTGTAATGTTGCCTACCTGCTTGGTTGTTCTGGGAGTCTCAGGGATTTCTAAAGGAAACAAATTAAGAATTATTATCTACTGTTATTATTATTATTATTATTATATTAACTTTGAGTTACTCTGTTACTCTCACACTCACCTTTTTGTCGGAGTATCTTTGCGAGGCCTGATTCAGGAGTATCTGGTGAGGTGGCACTGGAGCCATCGTCCACCACCTGGATCTGTACAGAGAGGCAGAGAAACATGGGATGTGATCAGGACAACACACACTTGAAAAACATGCAAAGGTCAAAATAAGTCAAAATTAGGATCCATGACTGAACGACTCTACACGACCATCAGACCCTAATGTGTCTTTACATCAAAACACAACACATACACACACCAACCTGGGACTGTCTGACAAATATCCCGTGGTTTTCCTCACAGGTGAAGTAGCGTTTCCCCTGCACGGTGCCATCATTCTTGCCTTTGGCCTCATTCAGTATGACGCCCACCCACTTCCCAGAGGCAAAGAGGGTGGCGCCGATATAGGCAACAGTGCCACGCTGACCCTTTCCTATCACCTCCACTACAGAGCCAATCTAGGAGAGACAAGAGGATGAGAGACGGTGAGTCATTGTACACTAGTTCATAGTAATGTCTTTTTTTCATTTCTTGCTTTTCCCTTCCTGTCTTGTCTGTATTGACTAATGACCTACCTTTGGAGGTTTGCCACTCTCCACCGTTCCTGCGCTGCTCATTTTGCTGATCAGTGGGCTGGTCAGCTGGAGGATTTGAGAAAAAGGGAGAAAGAAAAGGTGAAAAGTTGGTTACCAATGGGAATGAGGGGTACAGTGTGGCTGGGGGTCACTACAAACTAGAGAATTTATTGCTTCAATTTCAGAATCCCTCACACATGGTATCTTTTTATATCTTAATTTGGTCAAATAGACAAAGCTGAGTCAGAGTATGTATGACAAAGAATGTCAAATATTGTCCACCAGACCTGCTAAAGACCCAAACACACAGCATTGTTTTATGTGCAACAATAACGCCCCATAATTCTCCCTGCTCCAGCTATTAAGAGCAGTCTTAGGAATCAAAAATATTCAATGACAAGAGTCTTAGGGCCACAAAGCACAGAAACACACTCATGCACCCAGTCATATGTCCTGGACCACAATAAACAAGCCATATCCCTGTCTTTCTCACACAAAGACGCTCATTGAAGACAAACTAGGACTGCGGTAGAGTCTAATCCTTTTATGGAGCTTTAGGGACATGTGAATTCACGTTGCCTCGCAGTTTTAAACCACAGGGCAGAAAACTGAAGAGGTTTATCAGCACCGTATGATGTTGTTGCTGTAACACAGGATTTTATTATTTTCAGAGAAGCAGAAAGAAGGTTTGGCAGGATTCTCCAGAAAAAACACAACATAAGGTTAATGGAAAAAGGATTAAAAATTAGGATGGAATCTTTATCTTATCTCCAGGATAACTAATTACTCAAATTATATTCTTCCTCCTTTTTTTTTTCTGACGAGGACCCAATATGCAACATCTACTGTATGGTGAGTGACACAAATCTAAACTTGTTATAGGTGTAGTCATTACAGTGTAAAGATACTGATCAGGTGCAACAATCAAAATGAACTCTAATGTACTAAATAAGGTAGTATTCATTGTCGTCTGTGTTACTCACCCGGGGGGTATAAGAATGTCGCCTGTTCAACGCCATGGTAGCAAGTTAAAATGGTTTCACCTCCAGTGTGAAGACAAAGCTCAAGCACTAATTTAACTCCACTTTTTCAACTACATCCCTTCCTCTTTTCCAGAGGGAAGGGAGGATAATTATACAAGGCTGTGATTTCAGGGAGGGATCCCATGTGGTGCATCACAGACCGTCACAGCTGAGAGAGGGAGGGCAATATCTGGCTGCTGTGTCCTCCCACAACAGAAAACACATGGATGTTAGTGTGGTGCCTCACACTGAGCCTTTTAAATGACGTGATCATTTATGTACTGGCCGACATTTACTATATAGCTGCATTTGTACAGTAAAGAAGTAGTAACGTATAGAGAAATTGCTGTGTTAACGCCCTTTCTTAGATATATTATATCCGCGTATATCACAACTTCTATAATCTTGACATGTTAACAATGAGCTCGTTGAATTAGTCACTTAACGTTAGATAGCAGCTAACACAGGGGTTAGGTAGAGGGTCGAGTGCTTGATTAATCTAATGATTTGTTTTTATTCTGTCATAAAACAATATTCACGCGAAGTATAACACACTTGCAGAAAATCCACAATGCAATAAAACAGCGTTACGACAGAAGAGGGTGGACAAAGTACGAGAGAGAGAAATGTCACTGAATACAGGCTCTCCTGCTTCAGCCGCGTTCAGTCGAGCTAGGTTCAAAACAACACACACAGACACACACACAGACTTTAAAAAGACTCGACGCTTCACTTTGTCCTCCAGGGTTAGTTTGACTTAACAATTAGGTTACCTAAATCAACTAGCTGCATTAGCTTTACAGCTAGCGTTAAAACTGGACAAATCGGCTCAGCAAGGTCAGAAAGAGAAGAGCTGCTAAGACGCAAACACAGAATAGATTTATTTTGTAACTCAGCTCACCTGGCATACACAGAGATTGCTGTCTTTAAATGTAGCTCCTCAAGGTGTTCATACAGACAAACAATGCTCCTCTGTTGTTGTTTCTCAGATACCGAGCTTGGATATCGTCCGGTAGTCTTCTCCGGTTTTTGACAGGTCACTTCCGCTGAGCATATGAAGAAAAGTGTGAATGAGCGCCCCTGGTGGCTGCTCCCACTCATGACTGCCTCTGTTTTACTCACCCACACTGCACACATCTGGGATGGGATGGCCTCTCTTCACCATTTACCTTTTCTTTACAAGGTTTAATGGGAGTTTCTTCTTTCTCCCAGAGACCTTTGTGGTCATATACTGTCATTATAAGTTATACATACATACACAAAGAAATGTACAGGTAAACAAACAAGGTATGGACAGAGATCAAAAGGTGGTGATGGTCTTGAGTTTTCACAATCTGACTGAACTCAATCATCTATAAAACAAAAAAGCACATTATATTGCTATTTAAGTATGGATGGGGATGATTGTGCAAAAGCAGTCTATGAAGCAAGATGAAAGGCAGGAGTAAAATTAACACAATACGATACTGCACTATAATAAAACAGCATTTTTATTATTAAATGGAAATGTAAGTCAAACGTACAGAGTAGAGTAAGTTAATGAAAAAAGGAGGGATCAAATCCTATAGGGGACTGGAAATAAATCATTTGGGTGTGAACTGTTAGTTGGACAAAACAAGCTATTTGATGTCTTGGAGTCTGTTTAATTGTAATATATATTACTCATCTTATCTTAAACAATGAATTGTATAATCAAAAACTGTACTGTACAAATTATTTAATAATGTGAATAATTTATATATAAGAAATATATGGATTTGTTTGGACTTTTGTCTTTTCAGAGGAGAAACCTGAGTAAGAGCTGAACTTACAGAGTGAACGTACAGCTCCAGCACACATTACTCTATAAAATGTACCGTTACTGATGTTTCTCTGTGGTGGGACAGGACACTGTGTGTTGTGCTGCGGGCCCTGGATGCATATTGACGTGTAATTAGCCAGAAGCCGGTGCACAGCCGACCAATCAGGAGGCGGAGGAGAGGCAGTGCCTGGACCGGCTGGCAGACGCTCCGAGGACAGAGCTCCGGCCGCAGCTCAGCCCTGTGGCGGTGACAGCACTGACAGCGACTGGACCAGGTCCTGACTTCACCACCCCTGTCTGTGTAGAGCAAGGTAGAATCCTTCTTATAACTTTTATTCTGACTTACATTTACTTTTTAGAGTACTTGCTCCTGGCAAAGTTTCGCCGGGTGTTTATTATACTTGGATGGCTCGAAAAGCTTGCAAGCTAGCGAGCACGCAGCAACGTACTTCCGGTAGAGATTTTCAGAATTATAACTTGTGTGACTAATATGCCTAGAACAAAATATTCGGCGAGTCTCTGTGGTTTTATTATGAAGGAAACATTTATGTGCTTCCGGTCGTTGGGTAACTTTCACCAGCTAGCTTCACGAGCCGCTGTCCAGGAGGATTTAGTCGATGTTACGCGCTGTATGGTGTCCTGGGCGGACTGTACACCGTGTCTGGTACATTGCGCCGGCTTCACTCAGTATTTCAGGAC